CTTCTCTCCCACCTATCCGCTTCTCCCACCTCACTGACCAACCCCCATCCCCACTTCCTACCTACACTCACCTTTACTGGCTTCATCCCCGCCTTCTTGACCTGTCTGTCTTGTCTCCCACCTATCTGCTCCACTATCTACCTGCTATCAATGTCGCCCCCTCTCTATTTATTTCAGAGCCCTCTTCCCCTCCCCCATTTCTGAAGAAGGGTCCCGACCCGAAACATCAGCTTTCCTGCTCCTCTGATGCTGCCTGGCCTGCTGTGTTCCTCCAGCTCCATACCTTGTAATCTCAGACTTCAGCATCAGCAGTTCTTACTATCTCCGCTTAATAATGAGAACTTGCTCCAATAAAGCTTAAAAATAAAATCTTCTTTCTTAAAGTTTTTGAGATGATTTAGTAAAACTACAAAATGAGACGGCTGCTTCCTTTTTCCAGTGGCCATTTGTAGAGATTTTCATCTTTTGGAGGGGGAGAAATATTTTGTTTAAAATAAAGGATGAAATGTCTGGAAGAAGTACATTAAATGGCAAAAAAAGTTCTTAAGTTTAAAAAGTGATGCCAAAGAATAATTATAGGGAAAATAAACTGTTTATTTCATTCTTCTTCTGTTTACCAATGCTGTTAGCAATAGCGTTAATATATTTGCAAATATTTCCTTTGAAATGGGTCCCGAGAACAAACTTTAAATCGGTCAACTGTACTTGGCTTTAACTGATTCCCTTTGTTTTGAGAATTGGAAAAAGATATGTTTTATTGAAAGTGATAAACTGGTAATTTAAACGCTTTATGTTTTTGGGAGTTAACATCAGGCATTTATCCATTCCTCTGTGGCTTCAGTGTATTGTATTGAGTGTGTTGGTTTAGCATTTTAAATAGAAAGTACACATATCATTCATGTGAATGTGATTAAAATAGGGTCATATTGTCAGACTGGAAAAACAAGGAAATGACTCCATTGGGAAACTTCTCTGAAGCAGAGTTTGTGAAAATGTAATATATTAATAAATTGTAACAAACTTCCCCAGAGGTCCAAGATGAACTTGAAGGGATCAAATTTCCACTTTAGTGCCGTCAGCGATTTCATAAACTCATTTTGAAAATTCATTTTAAACTACAGTCTTGATCACTACGTGTACCTGATTTTAGATTATTAATTTAAAGTAATTAAAACTTGCAAGGTTCTGGGATGGCTTGACAGGATAGATGCTGAGAAATGATATTTCTTCTTGTGAGGGAGTCCACCGTCAAGGGGTACAGTTTCAAAATGTGAGGACCCCCATTTGAGGTGCAGAGAAGGAGAAATTTCTTCTTTCAGGGGGTCTTTCAGTGCGTTAGTTCTTGAAGTTCTTTTTCCCCAATGAGTAGTAGTGGCTGGGTCATTAAATATGTTCAAGACAGAGATGGACAAGGATTTAATTGACAAGGGAGTTGTGGGTTATGGGGGCAAGCACTAAAGTGGAGTTAAAGCCACAATCGAATTAATATGTGGAGACAGGCACCTGGTCACAGACTGGACCAGGGAGCATCTCAAGGCTGCTTGCTCACTCTGTTAGTGCACACTTACTTTACGCTTACCTGGATGCTCACGGCATCCCTGCCTTGGCTTGCCTTTTGCCCCCACTAATCCAGAGCTTAAAGGCTCACAGTACTTCTGTCTTGCGCTGCTGTTCAGTGCAGACACAAAGCCTCGCAGATTGTCCTGGTTGTCATCAGCCTAGGGGTGGACACATTAATGTACGGCACCGTGTTATATTAATCTCACTACCTGTGCATGACAAGCACACTACCTGTGCATCAACCATGTGGTCACGTCTCAGAGCCATTCGGGAGTTGTCCTTAGTCAAGTCCAGTGGGGGGCTACTGTCAGTTGGGGGTCCCTGTTCAATCATTCAGTGGTTTCATCCAATATCTGTGCTTGGACACATTCAGGTGTCTGTTTAGGGTAAATACAGTCAGCGTGCTCACCTTGTATGTGTTGAGGAGACAAATGTTGTACGTTCCTTCACCCATCTCAGCTCTTTCTGTCCTATTGTGAAGGGGTAGCAAAAAAGAAAATCCAGTGTGACCAAGGGGAAATCATAGGGCACAATCTTTTGTTCAAATTTAACCCATGGTGAATGCCTTTGATACAATTTGGACCATATTTTTATTGCTGATATTGTTTCCTCCTCACGCAGGGTGATGCTCAGTCGCAAAGTGCCATTCGTGTGATTGCTCAACAAGTGTGTGAGCAGCTCATCCAAAGTGAGTGATTACTGAGAGAGTTTCTCTTGGTGTTTTAATGGCTAATTTGAGTGCTTCTGTTGGAAAAGGGACTATTTGCAATTCTTACCATGGTAAAATAAGCACTTTTTGTGTACTCCTGCCAGAATATATTAGGTAATCCAAATAAGGCAATAGTGTTTCAGAGGACCAGGATTTACGGTTAAATCTCAACAACAATGTGTATTGATAATAGCACCTTTAATGCACCAAAGTAGTAGGATGCATGCTTAAGTCACAATAAGGATTGATGTAGTGCCTTTCATTTATTCACATGACCTCCTTAGACAGTAAGTTGTTAGATTTGCCTGGGGAAAGTGAGTGTCCAGGAATTTGAGTTTAATTTCTAGACAGTGCTGAGAGTGCAACCTGACAGAAAAATCAGAGGGGTGGCTAGAAAAGTTGTCTTTTATGTTTCTTTGAAAGCTCGTATTTATTTAGTATAAAAATCTTGGCATTGGTGAAAAATGGCTGTTTGGCACAGATAGTCAAGCACTATCCAATTGAATAAGGAAATATATCTTTGCTTTGTGATTGTCTGTGAGAAGGTGGGAACCTGAGGAGGAACCTATTGGGTGGCCATCAGGGGAGTATTGGTCTGAGGCTGTGGGTGATCACAAGATGACATCTCCAGGAATACCTCCAACCAGAACTGGGAACAGCAGTTGAAGAAGAGCAAGTGCTTGCTCACAAGTAGAAACTGAATCACTTTGGAGTCCAGGAAATACAGACTTCAAGGCCTACATTTTTTTGTCTACTTCATCCAGATTTTCTTGGCTAGGAATGCAGCTGGCAACAGAGTCTGGGTCCGTGGAATCTCTCTCCTAATCTGTTGTCCTCACTTACTGCTGTTTCCAGTGGGCTGTCATGTGGAAACCTGAGACTGTGTCCAGTATGGTGGATGGAATGGGACTTGCAATGGGTTGAGAGGTGGGTGTGGTCATGCATGCACAAAGACTGAAGACATTGGCTTCACATTTCTCAGTGTTTAACCGTCGGAAGAGACTGGATGACAGCCAGGCAGCCTGACAGACAAAGGCAGTAGAAGGGTTAGGTAGGTGGTAGAGAGGCAGAATTGGGTGTCACCTGCGGAGATTAAGACACCCATTACAACACAGAAGGAGGCCGTTCATCCTACGAAGTCCATGTTGGCAATGTCACCAAGGGATCAGGAATCATAGAATCCCTACAGTGTGGAAGCAGGCCATTTGGCCCTTCGAGTCCAAACCGACCACTCTGAAGAACATCCCACCCAGACCAACTCCCCTACCCTATCCCTGTAATCCTGCATTTCCCATTGCTAATCCGTCTAGCCTACACATCTCTGGACACGATGAGCAATTTAGACTGGCCAATACACCTAATGCACATCTTTGTACTATGGAAGGAAACCGGAACAGACATGGGGAAGATGTACAAACTCCACACAGACAATCACCCGAGGGTGGAATTGAACATGGGTCCCTGGCGCTGTGAGACAGCAGTGTGAATCACTGAGCCACCATGCCGCCTGGAAGAGGAGAGAGCCCACGGATAAATCTTTGAAGACTCTTGAGAAGTAATATTGCGGAGTGAGAAGAGAGCATTGGTGGTGGTATTTCCTATGATGAGACCAATTAATGGTGCACCCAGAAGGGGGCAGTCCTACTGAGCTGGGTCGTGCAGAAAAGGCTTTGGAGCTAGAAGTTTACACAACTGTGTCAAAGGCACTAGAGAGATCTAAGAGGGGATAGTGCAACATGGTCAGTATAGAAATAAATGTGAGGTGAGGCACTTTGGTACGAGTAAGGAAGCCACATACCCCTTAGAAAATAAGAGCCTGAGTCAGTTACAGGAGCATAGGGATCTGGACATCGATTCACAAAACACTACAAGTTAACATAGCCAGGAAAAAGCTAACAAGTTGAAAAGTCAGGCAGTTATACTATGTTTGCATAGAGTAAAGGAAAGCTGGATAAACATGAGGAAGAAAGGAATCGATGGATGGGCAAAATCTCATGTGGAGCATAAAGATCAGTTAGACCACATGTTTTGTTTCTATGTTGTATATTTGTATAAGTTATCTCTCATTTTTTCCCAAATCAATCATTTCTGTCATTTCAGTGGACAAGATTCAGGGTTTCTAAAATATTCAAGCCAATATTATTTTCCCACTAATAGGTCAGACTGTGGAGGGGATCTGTGGGAATGTATTTTGAAATGATGTTGTATTATGCTAGAAGCCAGTGTAACCACTGTATCTGTGGTACTAATATTTGGGAATTCTGATTTCCTTAGGCCACTTGTCAAGGTACGACTCTATTCTCAACCACATTCCCAGCAACTCGGTTCAGGTGCGGGCGTCTCCGGGTCCTCCAGGGGAACCTGGCCGTGATGGTCCTGCAGGTCCTCCAGGAGAGCAAGGATCTCAGGGCAGACCAGGTTTCCCAGGCAACCCTGGTAATCCTGGCAGACCAGGAGAAAGAGGTAAGAATAAAAATATTCTCTCTTAGATTTGTACAGCAAAGGAGGAGGCCATTTGGCCCATCCTGTTTGTGTCAATTCTTTGAAAGAGTTGCCCAACTCATCCTTTGTCCACGGCCCCGCAAATTTTCCCCTATTTATCTAATTCTCTTTTGACAGTCCCTATGTCATCTTCCCGCATTCCTTTCAGGCAGCACATTCCAGATTGTCATAACTTACTGCATTTTAAAAAATTCATTCATGGGTAGCACTGGCAAGGCCAACATTTGTTCCACGTCCATAATTGCCCCTTGGCAAGATGGCTGTGTGCCACTGCAGGCTGTATTATGTGGATGTACTCCCTGTGCTGTCAGGGAGGGAGTTATCAGATTTTGGCCCAGTGACTGTGGAGAAAAGACAATATATTGCAAGTCTGGATGGTGCATGGCTTGGAGGGGAATCTGTGGCCAGTGATGTTCCCATTCTTATGTTGCCTTGTCCTCTGGGAGGTGCTGCTGAAGGAGCCTTGCAGTACATCTTCTGAGTGCAGTTCTCCTGGTCTTCTTTCTGTGGTTCTTTTGTCAATTACCTTGAATCTGTGTTCTCTGGGTATTGACTCTCCTGCCAGTGCAAACAGTTTCTCTTAGTTCATCCCATCAGTACCCTATATGATCTGAAACACTTCTATTAAGTCAACACAAGATCAGTTTTGCTCCAAGGAGAAAGTTCTTCATTGTTTACATAAAGTTCTTTCAGATGTTATGAGCTGTAGATGTTTTATAACAAATTCATAAATTATGGACAAGCTGCACATTGGCTAAAAAGAAATCATTTTGATTTGATTTCCTGAACATGTTGACCCAAATAATAATTTCACTCAATCTTGAGGCAACTTCACATCACAAAGCAAAATGTATATCTGTGATAGAACAACTTCTAGAACCTTGGATAATCACAATCAAAGAACTAAATGCCCAGATGGAAATAGTTTAACTAAATATAGTAGCGCTGTCCTCATTAAAGTAAGGTTGCCATAGTTCTACTGGACCAATGGATTGCTCTATTGATGGAGAGACACAGTTAATAGTGATTACCAGGGACAGGAGCGTCCTTCACAGTAACTTCAGCTGGTTTGGGAACTGAATCCATTCTGTTGCTACCACACTGCAACACAGACTAGCTAGCCAACCAACTGAGCTAACCCTATTTGTAACAACGTATCAACTGTCAGATTGTCTTATATAGTAACAGGCAATTCAGCCCCTCCAGCTATTCTGGAATACAAGACCATTTTTCATTCTTTCATGGGATGTGCTCATCACTGGCAAAATCAGTATTTATTGCTCATCCTTAATTGCCCTTGAACTGAGGAGTTTGTTTGACCACTTTGGAAGGCACACGAAAGTCCATCACATGACTCTTGATCTGGAGTCACATGTTGGTCAAACTAGGTAAGGATGGTTTAAATCTAACATTGATAAATGTCAATTTTCTTTCCTATAGGTCATTTAAGTGAACCAGATGGGTGTTTTTATTGCAATTGATGAATGTAAGCAATTACTGTGACTAGCTCTCAATTCCAGACTTATTAACTAATTGATGTGGTGGCATTTGAACCTATCTGCAGGATATGAGCATGAGCCTTTATGTTATGAGTCTGGTGTCTTTAGCACTATGCCACTATCTCTCCACAGGTATTTTGTGTCCTGAATTCAACCATATACATTGGTTCTTTAAAGCTCCCAGTTAGCAAAAATCTAGCAATCAATTGGGCTTTGCCTACTGCTTTCTGTGGGACAGTGTTTCATACCTTTACCATTCTGTGTTGGAAGAGCTGCTTTCCTTACATCAGTCCCGAATGGCCTTGCTCTGATTTTAAGGTTGTGTGGCCTTGTCTTGGACTCCTGTCCAGTAGCAGAAAAACCTCCTGTGTATGCTAACCATTGCTTTCAACATCCTAAAAAGCTCCAACAATTCACTCCTTTAACTTTCTATGATGCAGGGTCTATAAATCATAGAATCCTACACACTCAGAGTGATCCTTGCTGATAATCTATTCCTTGAAATGTTGCTAACATTGAGGGGAGGCAATAGCCTGTTGACCCAGATCATGTCCCAGGGACCTAGGTACAAATACTGCCATGGTAGATGGTGGAATTTGAATTCCATAAATATCTGGAATTAAGAATCTAATGATGACCATGAATGCATTGCTGATTGTTGTAGGGGAAAGCCCTCTGGTTCTTTAGGGAAGGGAACTGCCATCCTTACCTGATCTGGTCTACATGTGACTCCAGACTGCAACCACAAAAATGTGGTTGATTCTTAGCTGCCCCTTGGGCAATTAGAGATGGGCAATAAATGCTGCCTAGCCAGTGACACCCTCATCGCTGAAGATTCATGTCAGCATTGACTCACTGGTTACATTCTCTTCAAAGTTAACAAAAAAAACTTAATTGAAACAGGTTCATAATCTCAGTTTATAGGGTTTGATATTAATCTGAGGAGATGAGCCGTATCCTGTATAATCTGTTACATGTACAATGGCCTGAGGTTGTTCAAATTGTTGAATTCTTGCAGGTTTACCAGGTTCGAAAGGAGATCGCGGTGTCCCGGGTATTGGCAAACAGGGACCGAGAGGACCACAAGGTTCACCAGGTAAAAGCGCTATTTTCATGCTGCACTATTAAACTGAGTTTTGGGTTCCACAGTACACTACATATTTTATCAGCTCTTATCTCTGAGGCAGAAGGTTCTGGATTCAAGTCACTTGTCAGGAGTCCTGTATTAACAGAGTGCCGTACTGTCAGAGTCACTGTATTTCTGATGACACTGTCCACCATCTCCGGTTTATTTACTTGATCCTGTGGCGTTATTCTGAAGAAGAGCAGAGGAGTTATCCTTAACTACAGAACAGATTATCTGGTTGCACTCTTGGTTTTAACTTTCGTTTATGGTATGTGAGCATCGCTGCTGAGGGCAGCATTTATTTCCTATCCTTAGTTGCCCTCGAGAAGATGGTGGTGTGTTGTCGTCTTAAACTGCTGTGGTGTGGGTGTGTACACTGTGCTATTAGGGAGGGAGTTACAGGATTTTGGCCCAGTGACAGAGGAGGAACAGCAATATGGTTCCAAGTCAGGATGGTGTGCGGTTTAGAGGGGACTGGAAGGTTATGGTGTTCCCAGACATCTGATGCCCTTGTTGATCTAAATGGTTGAGGTCACAGGTTTGGAAGGTGCTGGCCGTGGAGCCTTGTTAGGAGGAGTGAATCATGATGGTGATAGACAGGATGCACCACTCAAAGTACATGATGGTGGCAGGTGAATTCACCACCAAAAGCCCTTAAAATGCCCAGAAAATTTCAATCATGAGGGCAATCAAACAGGGACAAGTCACTCCTATATATGAGAGAGATAGAAACTGTGAGAAGCAATCAGAGATCAGCGGCTATTCAGTGAGGTGAGCTGTGACTGTATTTTGGCCCAGAAGTGGGGCTGGAATAGAGCTTAGCATTGGCTCAGGAAAGTGGTGGGGGTTGAGGATGTAGGGAATCAAAAGTCCAGAGGCTGGAGAATTAGAGGCATTGAGCAGAGTCAGTATCGGCAGAGGGTTGGGCGGACAATCAGGCTTGAATGACAGCTCGATCACAAAAGATGGGGAGGATAGGCAGCGGAGACTTTATGCACTGTGTAATGTCATCCATCAGTAAGCACGTTTGTGGGAGTTTATAATTACTCATTATTCAGTACACTGAGAGAAAAAGGCACACACTTTCTGAACAGGAGGCAATTGCGGGGATATCTGAAGCTTTAAACATTCTTGATGTACAGAGGAACAGAGCACAAAGCTGGATTATCAAAAAATTGTTTGCCTAACTTATAACCGCCATCCTACATTAAATTTTACAATGGTTTTCGGCAGTCCATTTACAAATGATATTTCTCCTAGTTATAGAATAATTTATGGAAAAATCAGAGTTTAATGTTGCATCATTATTAAATAAGGTTTGCATCTATTTATTTGGTGGATGCATCAAAGATAGATTTTTTTAAATGGATGATTTATTTATAACAAAGTAACAAAAAATTAATCATAGATTCCAAGAAAAGAAAGATTTAATGATATATAATGTATGTAGGCAATCCTTGATACTTCTGCTATCTTATCAATGGAAGAAATTCCTCCAAAAATCCACACCAACATGCAAATAATGTTACTTGCTAACTATGTCATGCAATTAGTGAAATTAAAAAAAGAGCCTCTTAAAATCTAAACATAGCACTCGAGAAAAAATCTCATGTACTGTCCTCAGAAAAGTTGATTATTCTGATCCCTGATGAGATGCCAGTCAAACAGGCTTTAGTACTGAACAGTGTTGACCTTATTAGGTATTGGAGCTGCACTCATCAAGGCAAATTGGGAGCATTCCCTCACAGTCCTGATGTGTGTCTTGTAGGTAGCTTTGGGAAATTAGGAGGTGAATTATTTGCTGCAGAATTCCTAGCCTCTAACCTCCCATGGCTTTTATATGGCTAGTCCAGTTCTGTTTCTCGTCAGTGTTAACCCCAGAGCCTTGATAGTGGGAGATTCAGTGATGGTAATATCTTTTGAATATCAGTGGGTGATAGTTAGAGTCCCTCTTCAGTTCTGAAGAGTCATACCTCGCTCTCCTCCCATGTTACCAGACCTGCTGAGTTTCTCCAGCATTTTCCGGTTTTATTTTAAATTCTCTCTTGTTGGACTTAAAAGACAAAGTTGAAGAGGTATGGGGAGAGAATTCCAGAGTTTAGGACCCCAGGTAGCTGGAAGCACAGTTGACAATAGTGAGGTGAAGAAAGACTGAGATGCACAAACCAATTCTTAGCTTGATTGTCACATGAAGATACTTAGATTGGCAAGGTTTTAATAAAAAAAATGACGGGATGTGGGTGTTGTTGGCAAGACCAATATTTGTTGTCCATCCTTATGGTCTTGCACGGAATGGCTTGCTATGTCATTTCTGAGGTCCACCACATTTGTGGATCTGGAGTCCTACCTAGGCCAAACTAGGTAAGGATGGCAGATTTCCTCCCCTAATGGACATCAGAGAACTGCACAGATTCTTACAATAAGTGATGAGAGTTTCATGGTCACCATTACTAAAACTAGCTTTCAATTCTAGATTTTATTCAGTGAATTTAAATTCCACCAGTGGTGGTGATGCAATTTGAACTCCAGCCTGGGTCTCTGAATTACTAGCCCATTAACGTTACCACTACATTACTGTCTCACCCATATCTGAGGTTGTTCATTGAAACCATATGTTAAAATGGAGGGGATGAGAAAAGGAAACTAAACAGAGAAATGAAGGGTAAACAATTCTGATGTTGAGTCTGTGCACAAGTATCCTTCTAATTTGCAGCCTGGTTCACAACTAAAGGGCATAATTTTAAGGCAAGAGTAGAAAGATTTAAAAAGGACCTGAGAAGCAACTTGTTCACACAGAGGGTGGATTGTATGTAGAATGAACTGCCAGAGGAAGTGGTAGATGCAGGTACAGTTACAACATTTAAAAAACATTTGCCCAGGTACATGAATAGGAAAGGTTTAGAGGGAAATGAGCCAAATGCAGGCAAATGGGATGAGTTTAGTTTGAGAAACTTGGTCTGCATGGACGAGTTGGACCGAAGGGTTTATTTCTGTGCTGTATGACTCTGACTGTCACATTCTTTCATCTACTAGGTCCCCCAGGGGAAGGACGAACAGGTAGTCAAGGTGCACCAGGCCTCCCAGGGCGACAAGGTAATACGGGACGTACAGGGGCTAATGGCCCAAGAGGACCGCCTGGCCCACCCGGATACTGTGATCCATCCTCCTGCGCTGGCTACAATGTTGGAGGTATGAGGTCTTACTGAATGAACCTGTCAACCTTTGTGCTAATCCTGTTATTGTGCTACTGTTTGTCTTGTGAAATAGAAAAACCGTCAAAGTTGCTGTTCTGTATTCTCATGCATGCACTCCTTGTTAATGTCAACTTATTTTTGGTCTTGTCTTCAAAAACAATCTATTGTCGTCTTATGTGAGGATTTGTCTGAAGCGTTGCAATACACTTCCAGTCGTTTGTACTTATGTGTCTCCTACTGCTACCAATAGGGCCTAGTTAAACCAATTAAAGTAGACTACACTTGTAAGTATAACACTGGCAGAATGGTTTGGATAGCTCCACAGCCTTGCAATGTTTTGAACCTATCACTGCCTTTACCCTGAACTGGCACTAAAAACAAAATTAGGATTTTTATTATAAACTTACCAATGAGTATGAAGAACTTTTTATGGGTCTACTACAGAAATAGTATGGTTAAAAGCTTGGAGTAGTTGCAGCAAATAATATCAATGCATTCAAGGACGAACTGAGGAATACATGAAGAAGAATGAACATGACGTATTAAAATTGTGAGATGATGTCAAGTGGAAATTTGCTCATGTGGAACACAAACACCAGCATCAACTGGGTGATGTGTTGTATGATCTATGTAATTAGTTCTATGTAACATGCAAAACAAAAAGCAGTGGAAAAATATGGAAATAACTGGGTGGATGAGAAATAAGACAGCATCCGTTAGTGTTTCTCAGACTGGTTTTTAAAAGAATAATAATTCCATAGACCACAATTTTGACTTCTGCTTACTTGTAATTCTGTTTTTACTGAATATTGTGTGTGTTTTCGTTTGTCCTTGTTTTCCCTTCCACCTCAATCCTACTGGTCTGACAATCCTTTGAAGGTCCTGAAGTTTACAATGATTATCGGCTATGAGCTAAGTCTGAGCTCGTTTCTCCAGTGCTCTCTATCACCTAGGGTAGGTGCAGTTCTGGTCAGCTGTTTTGTTCCACCTTGTGTCATCCAGGCTAAGCACATTGAAGCATTAACCATCAATGAACAATCACAACCAGCCTTTTCCCTTCCATTTCAGCTAAGCAGTTGCAGCTTATCCAGAAGCAAATACTTTTGTAATAAGGCAAAACATTCATCCCTCTAACCATTTTGTATGAACTAATCGACCTAACAATGACCTACCTGTTCATGAAACCAAGTTCCTGTCATGTGTCGTCCATTTCATTCATCCATCCTAATGATAAATATATTAAAATTCAGCTTTGTTTATTTAAGAGACACCAAATCTTCTGCCATTAATTACTCTAATCAACCTCCCCAAGAGAGAAAATCCTGTGCATTTCAGGACTATATCATGTTGCATAACATTTGCGAATTGCTTAGGGGTGGTCAAAGATGACATTTACATTTTGAGATAAAAAACTGCACTTCCACCTCAACAAATTCTTCAGGAAATTTTATAATTTAACCAGAAGTTCAGTGACTGCACCAAGTTGTGTCATTTCCGAGTAATGTAAAGCTGCAATTTGCACCAAAAGTTTTAACAATGAAGAGACATTTATATATATATATATATATATAAACGGAAAAAAAAAATTAGACAGTGAAAAGATTTTAACCAGGTCTTATAATTTAGCTCCTATCATCCTGGTACTGGATTCTCTCTGTGCTGTCTGTGTGTGTTCATCTCTGGATGTCTTGTCAGACTGTGCTGATATTTATGACTGGTGTATGTTTTAAATTTACTCATTAGAGTGTACATCAAATATTAAACAGCTTTTTGAATTTACACATGTTCTAATATCCTAATCATATTTAATCTTCTGCCTCTCCTCCTGTGCTAACTGTGGATACTGTTGATGGTGGTGGTGGGTTAAGGTGGATACAATGATCCAACCGATCAAGACATTCCTGTAGTACAATTGCCTCCAAACTCCTACCAAACCTATGGCCCTTATGATGAGCAAGATCCATACATATATCATGGGTCCTACCCCTATCCAAACCCGTATTCCCAACCCTCTTATCCTGAGCTACATGCTGCTCAGCTGGATGAACATTATGAGGATAAGGATACAGACGAATTGGAAGCTGTTGAAGTTCGATCGCCTGGAATCCGACGGTTTGCAAGGAACATATCAAAAAGGAACAGTGCCTCTTCAAGCACAAGGGAGGAGAACCAGTGAAAAAGACTTGTAAATGTAGCATTAAAATTGTGCATACTTGATGTGTTTTACCCCTATCAAATGGCCAATGCAAATGGTGGATTCAGTTCTGTAGATTAAAAGCTGGGACTTCTACAGAAATGAGTTTTTAGTATTGGAACAGTTACCCTAGTAGAGAAGTCAAGCACAAGTAATGAATATAAAATTTATGATGTAGCTTGATTGAAGCATTTGTGCCATTTATTGATTGAATTTTTTTTTTAGAAGTCCACAGCGTCATGATATTTCAGTAGTAAAAACTGGATGGCTCATTTCAAATGACTAGTCTTATGGAAGATTAGTAAAGTGCTACTCTATCAATTCTGTGTTATACGGAGCATAAAACATTGTGTTTTCATTCTGTAAGAGGTCTGTTTGTATTAAATTAATACAATTTGGAATGGTAAAGTCATTTATAATCCACAAAAGCAACCAAATTGGTCAAGAATATGTCACAAAGTCATTAAATAATTATGCACTTAAACTGATTCAAAACCACTGCAATAAATTTCTGCTTGTAGAACACTTATTACAAGTTTCCAGAACAAAAGTTTCCAATAAAATACAGGAGATGTACATTTATGAATGGGAATCTTCACTTGCCACCAAGTGAAGCCATTTAAATGAAGACTTGCAATTTTTTCATGTGCCCATTCCATTGATTAGCTCTTAGTGGAATCTAGCCAGTAATTTATTTGGATGAGATGATCATTGTTCAAATATATGTCAATAAAAGCAAAGAAGTACCAATTTTAAAGAATGTCTGCTGATGTTTCTGCTTTTTATTTGTACACAGTTCTGATATAACCCTTTACCATTAAAGTTTTCTGCTATTAGTTGACAATATAAATATGAAGTACTTAATACAATGAAACAGAATACACCAGTCTCTATGGCCTTTGAGTTGCCAGCTCTTGTTAGATACCCATCTGGAATGTAGGTCATATGATCTCCCATCTCCAATTGTCCCTGCCCTAACCAAGTCCCTACTGTCCAATGTTTGTGCAACTTTTATTTGAATATTGTTGTTCATTAAAGGGAAATTAGTTTCTCTTGACAACCGTATGATTTTCTTGGGTTAAAATCCATATTTCTCAAACCCTGGGATAATCCTGGGGCATTGGAACTCTGATGCTCCAACATCTGGAATTTTCAAACAAATTAAGTTCCTTGCGGCATATCACCTTGTTCTATATAATTGGTCGCTTCAGCCTTTGTGAAATTCTTTCTTTCCTTCATAAATCTCTTGGTGCTTGGCAAGGTAGATGTTGAGTTCAAGAGTACTGAAGAGATGCAGTCAGAATATAGGGAGTGCACTTTTACAAACCCAATATTCTGCGATGAAGGGCCATGACAAATGCACCATTAAAAGCATGACCAAACCTGGTGGCTAATGTAGTTCCATTAAAACCTCTTCCATAGGCCAGAATGGCTATCTAAATCACCGGGTCTTCCTTCTTGCAAAGTAAAGCAGTTCCTTGTAAATGTGGACTTGAAATTTCTTCCCTCAGATAGTTGAATGGAACTTTACCATTTTAGTTCCTTTGGTCCCACCATTCTTAGAAGAACCAGTAAGCTAGTGGTGATAGGTTTGGCATCACCGAACATAAGATTGGTATCATGAAAAAAAGTGCTGAGGGGTGGCCTAATAGAGGTCATTAAAACGGTTAAAAACTTCAATAAAGTAGACAGTGGTTCATCAATGTAAGTTGATCACCAAGAAATCAAACTGGGAACTCAGGAAATATCTTTACACAGAGAATGGATAACTTGTTGCCAGAGGGAGTAATTGAGGCAAACAGTTCATGTGCCTTTCAGTACAAATTAGAGAGGTAGGCAAATAGACTACGAAGATAGGCTGATAAAGTCAGGAAAGGCATAGACCAGTTGACCACATTCCTGTGTTGTAATTTTGAAGTGCTGCTGTCCCAAATTAGGGTCATGTTAATCAAAAGGACCCACAAACAGAATTGTGATAATGAAGAGATAATCTGCTTTTAGGGATGGTGATTGAGGGATAAATACCTGCCAGGGCATTAGAGAGAATGCTCTTGTTCTTTGAAAGAGTGCCATGGGATGAATAGTTATTGAATAGAACAGAGGTTGCAAAGGGATATAGATAGGTTAAGTGAGTGGGCAAAAAAAAACAAATGAGGTAGTGTAATATGTGGGAAAATCTAAGGTTGTCCGTGTTGACAGAAAAGAATATTATTTAAATGGAGGGAGTCTACATAAATTTGTGCTAAGAAGGGAGTTGGGTGTCATGTTAAATGAATCAAAAATCTAGCATGCAGGTACAGCAAGTGATTAGGATGGCAAATGGAATGGTGGCCTTTATTGCATGGAGAAATTAATGTAGGAATATTCTGCTACAGATACACAGAGCTGTAGTGAGATTGCATCTGGGGTTTTCCACTGTGTACAGTTTAGGTCTCCTTACTTAAAGGATGTAATTGCATTGGAACAGTCTGGAGAACGTTCACTTGACTGATTCCTAAAATGAAGGGGTTGTCTAATATCACCAGATTGAGTAGTTAGACCTATTCACATTGGAGTGTAGAAGATGAAAAGGCAGTTTATTGAAACATATGATTCTGAGTGGATTTGACAGCGTAGATGTTGAGAGAATGTTGACCCTTGATAAGGGCATTTAGAATTAAGAGCACTGTTTAAAAATTGTGTCTAATATTTAAGAAAGATGAGTAGCAATTTCTTTTCTCTAACATTTGTTAAACTTGGAAATTCTTTACACCAGATAGTACTGGAGGCTGGGCCATTAAAAATATTCAAGGCTGAGTTGTATGCATTTTTGATTGACAAGGGGGTTGAGGGTTGTGGGGCAGGCAAGAAAAGCCACAATCAGATCAGCCATGACCTTATGGAATGGCCTATTACAAATGTTTATGAATAAGATCTACTTGAGAGTATTGTTTTAGTGGCACATCCAAAAGATATTGCGTCTAAGTGTTAGTTGCAGAATAAACGTTGCATTAGGATACCTATGAATCCTAAAGTATTGCATACTGGTTCTTAAATACCATGGGAATCTTGCATATTTCTCTTAAATGTAGGTCACAAGTTTTGTTTTTCTGGGTTTTCTTTGCTGATTACAGATTGTATCCCCATATGCAGTGTGGCTGGATAGGTTACAGTGTAGACATGTCTGGCCGGATTTATTCATTGAAATAAAAGCCATCGCTATCAGATTTCAAATGAAATAACTGTGAACTTCAGTTCCAAAATGGACATACCTTGGCCAGCAAAAACATTCTGAATGGCATTTTCAAATGATGTGCACATCTGCAGACAGTAAGGGCTGCAGATGCTGGAAGCTAGAGTCAATAAATGTGGAGCTGGAATAGCACAGCAGGTCAGACAGCATCCGAGGAGCAGGGAAGTCAATGTTTCAGGCCGAAACCCTTCGTCAGGACTGCACATCTGGTTGTGTTCACTACCAACAACCATTGAATAGGGATCAAATAAGTCTGTCTTCTGCAAAGTGCCTTCAAGAATCTTACAGCTGGAACATTCGAGCTTTGTCTCTGATTGGCATCTCTAAATGTGCAAACAATTAAATAAAATGGGAAAGGCTGTGGATGTCTTCTGTTCACATATACAGTGTATCAGCTGCTCTCACAACCACTTGACGACAGCTTAAAAAAAATTCAAACAATCCATTGTAATTGTAGTTTAATGGAGAGGTAACTAATACTATTTCTGTCACCTGCAAATCAACCCCCTAAAGTCTAGAATCTTAGGTTCAGATGTGTCATTTTGACTTCCTCTGCTAAGGTATTGGGAGTGACAAAAATATCTTGGTAACGTGAAATGATACAAAACAGTGCAATGTGGGTTTCTAACTCTTTATATTAATCTTAGTTTGGAACCTTGGCACACTGTGAACTGGAAATGTCTCATTGAATGATCGGTTTATGACAACAATAAGTCTAATTTATTATTTTGCTCATGTAAGGAAACTGAGCAAATGCAACCATTGAGCGTGAACAAAGCTAGCATTGAACATGTTGGACATTTTTAGGCAAACTTCTGGACTCTTGCGCATTAAAGCCTAGTAATGTGCCAAATTAAAAGTCAAAAGTTGACTAATTGCATGAAAAACAATTTAAAAATTGCTAATGCTGACATTGAGTGAATTTTCAGACTAGACATGACAATATTAATGTCTTTCATACCATTCATTACTGAGTAATGTGGATTGCAAAATTCAAACACAGTCTCCTGATCAAAGTTCTTGAGCACAAAATATTCTGCTGAAACTTTACAAATGCCATTAGTAATTGGTGCCAAACAGAAATGTTAATAAAAGGAACAGAATAGAATAGAATATTCTTTATTGAATTGATGCGAAAAGCATTCTAATGCATCTTTCGGATCTCATCATAACTACAAATAAATACAGCTTGGAATTTGGTGAAGAAACATGTTCATGTGTTAAAATAGGTTTTTGTGCAGCCTATTTAAATTGATTCAGATTTTTTCATTCAGCTATTTTCTTCAATGGAAACCCTAAGATTATTTCCTGTTTAATGGCAGAATCTGAAGCACAATTTGTAAATTGTTAATAACAATGATAACTGGTTTTTAAAAATAAGTTTGATTTTCTTCGCTCCCGATCTACCAACTCCATTCATTTCCCTGGCTAAAGTCTGAGATTAGACCATTCTGTTTGCGACCTTAGTGTCACATTCATCCTGAGATGAGCATGATTCATGCCATCATTAAGACCGCCTACTTCTACCTCGTCCAAGTTCACCCGTCTCAGCTTATCTGCTGAAACCATCATTCATATCTTCATTACCTCCAGATTCGACTATACTAGCAAACGCCTGGGTGATCTTCCACGTTCTCCATTCCATAAAATTGTGGTTATCCAAAACTCTGTCACCTGTGTCTTAACTCACACCCTTGCGCTTGCTGACCTATATAGGCTTTAGTCCAAGCAATATCTTGGTTTTAAAATTTTCAACCTTAGTTTCAAATCCCTCCAGACATACTCCTCCCTATTTCTGTAATCTCCTCCGGCCTCACACCTCTCTAGGATATCTGTGCTCCTCTAAGTCTGACATCCCCAATTTTAATTACTCTGCCACACTGGCCGTGCCTTCAATTGCCTAAACCTCAAGCTCCCTGCACCTCTCCCACTTGGGTTTCCCATTTTACAACACTCCTTAAAACCTAGTTCTTTAACCATGCTTTTGGTCATCTGACCTAATCTTTCCTCGGTGGATCAGCATTTGTTTCATAGTACAGCTGTGAGCACCTTCAGTCAATTCATTGTATTAAATGTACTGTTTAAATACGTTGCTTTGTAAAGTACTAGAAAATCAAACCTTTGAGGAAAATTGGTACTTTCCAAAGCCACAAACAAATTAAATAAATTGAGATATTAGGTCTATGTATTTTTAAGATTTTTCTCTCAGTTACACTCAAGGTTCCTCTGCACAAAACAGAGATGCTTCAAGCAATATGTCCTGGGTTGCAAACTTTACTACTCTTGCAACTGATGATGTTATGACTCATGCACTGTGAAGAAGCAAACAGAGTTCTGTGTAGTTTTGCCTTCCTGCATGTTCTGGAGTGCCAAGACTGTAAGCACTTCATTCTTTATGTGGTTACCCAAGGCAGAGGAGAAAGCTCTTCTACGCAGTGAAGTTGACCATTAGGCTTAAAAAGAAATGTGAAATCATCAGTTTGCCGTTCCACTCAATTGAAGCTATCAAGCTCAAAATATAAAACAGCTTGTGGAATTATCAAAGTACCATAATTATCGAATCAATATAAGTCCATTCACAATATTAAAAATATCAGGGTACAATCATATTGCTGTTTGTGGGAGTTTGCTGTGTGTAAATTGGCTGCTCTGTTTCCCAAACTACTACAGTGATTACACTTCAAAAGTACTTAATGGCTGTAAAGCACTTTGGAATGGCTGCTGTTTGTGAAAGGCCCCATATAACTGCAAATATATGATAAAGTCTATTCACAATGGTGTCTTTTTAACTGCCTCACCATATATAAATAAATACATATATAAAATGGGTGATTTGGGGAGTAAGAAAACAAAGAAAGGGCACTACTGGGGCCCTAAAGAGAAAAAGAAATAAATGCAGGTCTTCTTTCTTTACAAAGTTACATTATATGAAACTTAAACAAAACGCAATAAATTTATTTGTTTCCAGTTGTCTTGATACTTTACTGTCATTATAATAGTTAAGCTAATGGATTTTGCTGTCGCTTATGCATAAATGCATATTTTGACTTGGGACGCCTTGCTACCCATTATGCTACTCTGCTGTTAGTGTCACAAAAACAGCATCTTTGTGTCTGTCACAACTTACATGCATCGAATGGTGTGAAGTTGCATTATTTGGCATGATGGATATGGTCTACTTGTGAAATGTTGTCCATTTCAGTCCACTTTTGAAGATGTTATATTTATTACCATCTGTTAACCTCTGTGAAACTGAAAATTAACTATTCTGTATTGAATCTTTCCTTCAGGTTTTAATTGCATGGGATTTTTTTTAAAAGGAAAATTAGAAAAAAATCAATTTGTTTGTCTGCCTTTTTCTCACTGTCGCTCCAATCTTTATTTCTTTCTCTATTCCTCTGATTTGACAATGAACCCATCAGCTTTAATTTACACTTCAGTTGTTGCAATGAATTTTACTTTCACAATCTTTCATTTGAATGGTTGAGGAGATGCACATTTGCTTTCCCTGTTCACTCTGGTCCATGATGCCCAGTTTTCCTCACTTGTAAGTTTGCACTGCCAGCAACCTAAATATGGAAGATTCATCTAAAGAATAGCAGACAGTTAATGCCCTGCTGCAGCAAAATTATGATTGCTAACATAGCAAATTTTTCAAATGATTGGAAAATTCAAGATAGAGTTTATGGTTTCAAAAAGAAAAATGATTTAAAACACATGTTTCATACTTTTAGCCACTGTTCTATGGAATAAATCCATGTTATTTGACTCCAAAGACAGTAAGACTAGATGACATAGAGATGTAGATCATTCACCCACCAAGTCTGTCCTAATTCAATGAGATTTGATAATCCTCAACTCCATTTTCCTTTTTCCTTGATTCCAATACTGATTAAGTATATTCAAGTTAGATTTTTAATGATCTAGCCTTAACATTCTACAGATTCTCTACCCTCTGAGAAAAGAAATTCCTTCTCATCTCCGTTTTAAATGTGCAACACCTTATTCTGAGATTATGCCCTCTGGTCCTAGTTTCACCGACACTACTGCTCTTTTTGGGTCTTGGTTTAATATTGAATCCTAAAAAAAAATTTCATCTCCAACAAGGAAGCATTCCTTCTGTATGCACCGGAAGTGCTATCCTGGTTTATTGTGCTCATGTTCCTGGAGTGGAACTGGGGAACACAACTTTCTGCTTCTGAGGCTGGACAGCTACCCACTGTACCACAGCTGAAACACAAAATAACTGTGAAGAACTGAAGAAAGTCTGTGCCGACTAAAGGAAAACCGTAGATCTGGTTGTCACCCTAAAGTGTACCCCCATCTGTTGTCATTGGTTACAGCCGCACAGTCTTGTGAACCGAGTGAGAATGTCGGACTCTTTCCAGAATTAATCGAAAAGTTCTGAAGCCCATCCTCTCAGCTCATGAACGATTGCTGTTAGTTACGATAGACCTCGGCGTTGATGCCAGAAATTGTTGAAGCGGCAAACCTCAGGGTTTTGCATGAGCCTAAAATTTACATTGCATACCACTGGTGAAATTTCACACCACAGCTCTCTCCTTAGGTCTCTCCCAGACAGCAGTTGTCTGCTTCTCTATGGTTAGCATGCAGTAATTCAAACCGCAGAATTAATCACCAATTGTTGAATCAGGATTACAGGAACCTTTTTGGAGGATTTTGTGTTGCCTGTTCATGTGACAGCACAACTTTTTCAAGCATTGCTGTCATCAAGAAACCATCAGGTTCAATTTAAAAAAATGTTTCTTTTAAGTGGTTACAATTACGTTGTATAAGCTAATATATTAAGGGAGGTCTGGATGGCTCCATGGTGATTGCATTCAAATACTGCCCAGATAGAAGCTATGCAAGTTCTTGTTCTTTCTGTTTGTTCAAACAGTCCTACAAGGCAAATGATAGATTGTAACTAAGCTTCTTGTAGGCATGGGTCCCAATTACAAAATCCATCACAATGTGGCAAGTTCACAGAGGTATAGTGATGTCTGCTGTGGTATAGTAAGAGTGGTAAACATGTTTTAGGATGAGTTGTTCAGGGAGCTTTAGTATCTATTGGAACCATGGTAAAATATTCAATTAGATCGCAACTCAGATTATTCTCTCTTCATTTATTTCTCTTAAATATAAGATAATCACCAATAAACAGAACAGTAAGTTCAAGAGAAACTTCTTTACCCAGAGAGTGGTGAGAATATTGGACGTGCTAGCACAATGAGTATTTGAGATCAACAACATAATTAGGGGAAATGAGATAAAACAGAGATACGAATAAAGGACCTGCTAATAGGTTGTTATGAAGAAAGCTGGGAAGTGTTTGCTGATGTTTACAGACCATGCAAATAGGGATTGGGCTGAATGGCTCCTGTCCTTTGGGGAATGAAATCTGCCATCCTTACTCAAATATGACTTAAGCCCCTCTTATGACTTCAGATCCACAGCAGTGTGGTTGTCTCTTTGCTGCTCTTTGAAATAGTCTAGTAAGCCTTCTCTAGGGAAATCAGAAATGGGTGCCAAATGCTGGCCTTGCCAAAGATACATCCAAAAAACGAACAAAACTTCAAGTAATACTATGACTCCAGGAAGAATTCACCATCAGCCTGCCTTGAACCTGCAAAGTATTTATATGCTTTTCTTCCATATCCTTTGATTTGATTATTAAACAAAACTTGAGCAACTGAAGTTTTGAAACAAATAATTTTCCGACAAGAATTCAACAAATAAGATCAATGTCAGAGATAGACCAAAAGAATGAAGCAGTTTTTAGTTATTCAAACCAACATTGTGAAAAATAAATAACTCTGTGGATTATCTTTGCCCTGGTTTGGGAATGTATTCACTTCATTCTGTAGTCATCAGGTCTGAAAAGAAAGAAAAACTCACAATTAGAGAGTGGAATTTTATCCAACATTAAAAGGCCATCTGTTTAGCATTAATGCAGTCATGACATTAAACAATCTTCAAAAAAATTCATTGAGACACTAATTACAGCCTAATATTCACAATATTAAGGTCTGTTTCTGTAAAAATTAAAATGTACATCTTGAGCCACTATGAACTCAATTTTAAGTGTTCTTGACACCCTTAGCTATCTCTGTTTGAGGTCACGCACAGTTCCTTCTGTGAATGGAAACCAGCCCACTTTATATAGCAAGAGCTCCAATGGGTCCTAGTTTTTTTTTTGTGCAGGGTCAATTCAGCACACGATGATTCATCCACATTGTTTACAAATTTAAGAGTTTTGTCCAAACTTAAATTTTGGAAATGGAATTAACTAAAGTAACCATTTGAAATACAATCAGCTTAAAATTCAGAGTTGTTATCTCAGCTTAAAATTCACTAGGTTTTCAGGTGCACCCTGACTGTGATTCGAGTGAAAGGAAGGGAAACCAGCCTTTACAATGGATACCCACTCAGAAGTGCGGGGGACAGAATTTGTGGCTTGCACCATAGAAGATCAAAGCGAAGGACACCAGGGACTCCCTCTATAGAAAAGCTCTACAATCATCAGCCAGCATTGAAGCTAAGATTTTTAAATATTCATCTGTGGGAGTCGGGCATTGCTCACTGGGCCAGCATTTATTGCCCATCCCTAACTGCCCTTCCTGAGTGAATTGTTAGGTCATTTCAGCAGGCAATTAAGAGTCAACCACATTGCTATGGGTCTGGAGTCAGATCAGAAATGCAGGAATGGCAGATTGCTTTCCCTAAAGGACATTAGTGAACCAGATGAGTATTTACAACAATTGAATGTGCTTACACGATCACCATTAATTCCAAATGTTTTTTATTGAATTCAATTTCACCATGTTCTATGGAAGGATTTGAACCCATGTTCCCAGAACATTATCTGGGTCATTACTACTATGCCACAGCTGCCCTTACAAGACTGAGCTGGTAATGTGGAGGCTGGATCACGGTCCTGAGGAGGTTTCTTTGTTTATTGGTTGAATTCCGAAGGTGCCAAGCGTCTTTTAGAAGGCGTTGGTTTTTGAACAAAAGGCGTCAGTGACCGATATTTGACCTCAGCAAGCATCCAATGAAATGCTCAGCTAAGTGACTTGTTCTGGAGCTTGGAATGCCATGATCTTTCACTTGATCACTGGTATCATGATTGCACATCTACTCTCAAATTCATTGATTGAACTGTGCCATTTGTTTGGAATTTATCATCCAAACAATGACAAACAGATTAATACACTAGATAAAATGGGCAAGGGGTTGGTTCATTTTTTGTTGCAGATACAGTAAACGTAATGATTATTTTTAATTCTTTCATGGCACGTGAGCCTAACTGTGAGGGTCAGCATTTGCCATGAACTGAATGTACTTTTTTTTAAGAGCATTCGGGCAGTTAAGAACCAGCCGCATTGCTGTGGGTCTGGAGTCACATCTTGGCCACATCAGAAAAGTATTACATTTGTGAACCATAAAGGATTTTAGGACAATTGACGATATTTTTACGGTCAGCATTACAGAGAGTAGCCATCAATTCCACATTTTCTTCTACAATTAATTGAATTTAAATCACAGTGGCAGTCCCTGAACTGGTCTCTGAATTACTCATTCAGTGTCATTGCCATTTTGTGACCATCTCTTTGGATTGTGTTATCAAAGAGACTAACTGTTATATTGAGCTAATGGTTTATACACTTAAAATAAGGGAAGTAACATTATGTAACTTGCTGCACAATAAATAAGAATAAGTAACTGAATGTCAATGTGCATATGAACCGGCTTCTGGTTTACAGCGATCTAGTCACAAACCACCACACCAACATATCCAACAATAATCAACATGGACTACAATTCTTTGTAATTCTTCTGCAATCTGTTTACAATAAAAATCTTTGTATGTTTGTGTCAGTGTTTGAAAAGTTTGCATATAGCCAAGAGTATTGTATACTACTTACAAAGCCTCTGGTTTTCCTTCTGGCCAGTGTTAAACATGAGACCACATTTCTTTCCATGGAAGTATCTAATTCTAAAATGTACTGTATATAGATTATATCAAATTGTAAAAATAAATCACATTCCATTCTTTTACAAAATAACAGGTTGTCTCTACCCTTGCACTGTAAGGCCTTATTTATGATTGATCTTTTTATGGTTTTACGTGTCTGTAGTCATACCTTCAGTGAATTGATGTATTTGAACAACCAAGTGGCTCTGCATACCCACACCCTTCAATATCTTCCCATTCAGCATATGCTCAATTTTCTTTTCCTTCTCAAACGTGAAATTGCATCTTCCACCTGTTTTGTTCATTCTATTAACCCATCCTCTACTTACCTGAGAAGTTTTCCTCAAAATTCTTCAAACCTCACTTTTTGTTGCAAATTTACATTTATGAACCTACAAAACTAAAGAATCAAATTCCGTTTAAAACACAACTGTTTTGCTTTCTACAGATGCTGCTAGATCTGCTATTTCCAGTGCTTCGTTTTTGTTTCTGATTTCCAGCATCTGTAGTATTTACAGTTTGTTTTGTGTATTCAGGTTTAAATTTTTACATAAAACCGAAGGCGATCCTGACACACACACAACCCTAAATCTTGGTAGCTGGTGTCAGCATAACCTACCTACTCAGACTGATCTAGTTGCTAAATTGGCTATCTTTCTCTTTCTGTACTGAATTCTTGTTGCATTGGTAAAAACATAACAAACAATAAGGGAAATAAAACCAAAGATTGTCAACCCTATGTCTGACTGATGCTCATGTCTACAATGAATGGTTTGTCTGTTTGCTCCTCACTGACATTGGTTTTTCTTTTCCAATGGCTTGTCTTTGCTAACCTTGTTTGCAAATAAGGATCAGTAACAAAAGAAAAGGTACTGGTGTATAGAAACAAGGAGCAGGATCTCTCTGTCATTCAATCTGATCATGGTTCATCCTCTATCTCAGTGCCATATTCCCGCTTTCTGCGCGTACCCCTTGATGCCTATAAAATTTTTCTTGAATATATTCAGTGAATTGGCCTCCACAGTCTTCTGTGTTAGAGAATTCCGTGGGTTCACTACCCTTTGAGTGAAGAAATGTTTCCTCATTTCAGTCCTAAATGGTCTTCCCCATATCTGAGACTGTGATGCCCTAGTTCTAGATTCCTCAAACAGGAAAAATATCCTCTCTGCATCTAGTCTGTTCAGCCTTGTTATAATTTAAGACAATATGATACAAAACAGGTTATGAATTTATTATTCTCCATTAACTTGTTTTCATGGATTTTCCAACTTTTGATCTCTAGGTCATTTTATTAAATGCACTGAAGACAGGAGTGCCTCTCCCTGCAATGTTCATAGAATAGAATTCATAGAATCCCTACAGTGTGGAAACAGGCCCTTCGGCCCAACAAGTCCACACCGACCCTCAGAGAATCCCACCCAGACCCATCCTCCTCTAACCCACCTAATCTACACCTCCCTGAACACTACGGGCAATTTAGCATGGCCAATCCACCTAGCCTGCACATCTTTGGACTGTGGGAGGAAACCGGAGCACCCTGAGGAAACCCACGCAGACACGGGGAGAATGTGCAAACTCCACACAGACAGTTGCCCGAGGCTGGATTCGAACCTGGGTCCCTGGTGCTGTGAGGCAGCAGTGCTAACCACTGTACCACCGTGCCGCCCACGTTTGTGGAATGAACAGTGGAAGCCTAAGGGTGGTGGGTGGGGAAGGTGAGCTATAGAATGTTGGTACCTTTGAAGAGCTAAAGCCACAAAACTGAGGAAGTGGATCCAGTGTACAGTTGGAAAGTTCTCATGGGAGGCTATGCAAAAGTAAAGGAAGTAACTATAACTGTGATTGAAAGAGGAGCTCAAAAACATTTTTCTAGCATCTGATTAATCCAAGTTTCAGTTTTGTTTGCTAATGTTCCTGTGAACTACTTTGGGACATTTTATTTTGTTGGAGGTGCTCAAAAAATACAAGTTGCTGTTTATTATGAGTTAATTAGAAAACTTGGCACAACCCTGAACTGAAACAAGCAGAAACTTGCTACAAGGAGTTAAGCACAGAAAATACGGATATCTTGACATATCACTGCGATATTTTCGCCATGTTTAAATTTAGGACCTTGAGATCATACTCATGCAGATTAACATTATTTTTTCTTAATTCACTTTATTATATTACAGTTGGTGCTGTTTGGTGCTATGTTTTGAACCAGGAACCAACCATGGAAGGTGAAATTCTTGTTGAAACTGTCAGCTCAAACGAACTGATTTTATGTAAAATGATGTGATGACATGCACACTGCATTACAAAATATCTTCAGAAAAAAATAAATCTACAATTAGTCCTATCTATAGACATTGAAAATACACTTCATTTCACAACCTGTTTAATGCAATGCCTTTTTTTAAGAAAATAAGGGTGTTGTTATAAGAAAGACCAGGTTGAGATAGATTCTTCTTGGAATGACCTGAAGGTGGATGACCAAAATTATACTACCGCCTCAGCACATCCCTGGAAGAAAAACACACCCAAGAACACGAAGATCAGGAGTAAGAGTAGGCTATTTCCTCAAGCCTGCATGACCATTCAATAAGATCATGATTGATCCAACTGTGGCCTCAATTCCACTTTCCCATCCGCGCCCATAACCCTAAACTGCACTGTTGATCAAAACTCTGTAAATATAAATATATTACTGCTTTTCTTTCAGTAAAAGTAGACAAGTTAATATTTTCCCATGTTATATTCTATCTGGCAAGTTTTCCCCTCGCCTTTAACCTGTCCAGACACATCTGTATCGTTTTCACAACTTACGCATCTGTATTGATTTCACAACTTACGCCCCTACTTATCTTTGCATCAACATCAACTGAGGCTGTAAACACGTAAATTGCTGCAATCATT